TATATACATAAAAGATGCGCACATAATATTTAAATTTTAATTATACAGACAGCTTGACAAATTTGATTCACAAGAAACAAACTTAGTGATAGTTTTGGTATTGTATTTGATACAGTGTAAAGAAAAATTTAGTTTCTTCCATCGATTTGTCGTCAGACATGTATTTGCATTACACAGATTTTGCTCAATTTCTACCACCAATTTGCTGACATAATATATCAGCAAATTTCATATCTTTGAGTTTGCTGACATTGTTAGATATTATTTCTAACATTCTGTACGATTCTGTACGAAATTTATTATCTTTTTACTATCAAAAGTTGGTAACATATTCTGCTCAAAATCTGTCTTTGTAGATTTAGCTATCTGGGAAGTTGTTGGAACATGTAAGAAATAATATCATATAAATACATATTATAACAAGAGATTTCAAAATAAAAACAGGAATAAGACAGGCAGTAATAAAGGATCTGTACAAAAGAGGACATAATGAATAAGTCCTACCAAATGTTGACATTAGAGAACGAGAAAAGTAGGATTCATAATCAATGAGGACAAAATTAAATATTTAAGAATGTCTAAGAATATAATAAAAGGAAACTAGGGGAATATCTCGATAGCTGGATATAACTTTGGAAACGTATAGAGCTTCATATACCTGAATTAAGATTGAGATGGCTAGATCACTTTGAATGTATAAATGAGAAAAGTGCATTAAGAATAAGTGAGACGGTCCATAGCCCTTTGTTACGTACCACGAGACGGCGTGGAAAACCGAGGGCACGATGGCGACAGGAAGTGGAGCAAGATTTGAGAGTAATGTCGATTACTTTACTCCAACTGGAGAAGGAAGGTAAGGAATAGAGATGGAAGCATATAATGGCGCAGACTCATCCCGAGCTGTAACGCCACTGAAAGAAGATATGAACAGAAATAGAATATACTAGAGGAATCATAATGTATAAAAATAATTTTATTAAAATTTTATTAAAAATTTTATTAAAGAAAAAATAATAGTAATTTTTATTGAATCTTCAAACAGCTATTCAATTAAGAAAAATTTTAAAATTTTTATAAATTAAGTTTTTGTATGATATTGAGTTTAGAAGATATACGATTATGTTTCCATTAAAATGAAGGATATTCTACACATACATACACACGCACACACACGCGCGCGCTCATGCACACATTTATTATCTCTAAGAGACTTAAATGACTTAATAGAAATATTGTTTATGTATTAATTTTATCAAGAAAATCAATGAATTTATATTGAATAGTTAATGATTTAATTAAAAACTAAACAAATAAATATATATTTAAAAAAATTAGAAGATATGTGATAAAATAATATATGTAATTTGATTGTAATTATTCAAAGCTTATTTATATCTCTTATGATTTTGCTAGCAAATATAATTTTTGTGTGCAATTATATGTGACATACAACTGCATAATAATAATAATAATAATAATAATAATCACTGTGTATGCAATGCAGTATGCCAAAATTATTATTAGGCAATTGTTTTGTAAGCAAATAAAAACCTTCCATTCCTCTATGTAATCAGTAAACATAGTAATATAATAGAATTTTGACAAATTATAAATTTGTTTTTTATTATATTTATTTAGTGATAGCATTTCAACCAATTTAATTTCTAATATTATAGCAACTAATTTTGGAATATTATATGCAATTAAAGATATCACCTTGTTTAATATCAATAAGTGTGTGTTCATTAAAAAAACGATGTCACAGTTCACAAGTGTCATTTAATCATAAATTGTGATTAGTCAACTTTAAAACTTTATTTAACTATTACTTGAAATGAAAAATAATAAATAATTTTTTTAACTTTTTGATATTTTGATTCGCATATTTCGGAACATCTTGCATACACACATACACGCGTATATATACACGCATACAAATATATAATAAAGTAAATAAATTTTATCAAAATTCACACTAGATACAGGAAAATTCTAATGTTATAAATGTACATGCTCACCATGTAAACATGCATGACAAAAATTTCTAATATATACATATATACATATGTACATGTATATTTGTATACATATTTCCATTTAAAATTAGCTTCTAGGTAATTAAAGAAATAATATAAAAGTTCAAGTAGTATAAGATATAAAAAAATATAAATACCATTAAAAAATGTTGAATAAAGCAAAGTATAGAAATCTTCAAAATAAACATGTTCTATAATGGAATATGTATGTTCATGGTGTTTCCTCACATGTTCCAATGATAACAAGTAATTTGCACGAATTATTACCATAATCCTTAATGTTGGTAAACGTAGAATACATCTTCCTCTTCCATATGTCATTTAGATACAAAAATTAAATATCGTGTGTGGCCATGTATCATTTTGTATCAATCACTCTTCAATGTGACCCCCCTCCCTTCCCCAGTTATGACATGGAATCTTAGATGCTCCATACCTACAAGTTATTATATCTTGAACAAAGAAAATAGCGATCAAAAATAAACAAATTACTAAAAAAAAAAATTAAGAAAAAATATTTTAACTCAAAACTGAAAGAATAGCTGTATGATGTAATAATATATAATTTTATCAATTACAATATCAATAGAACCATAGGATCTCTCCTAAGAAAATTCAAACATTCAAAATAAAGAACAAAATGATGTTCTGTTCAAAAAAAATAAAATTGTTTTTATAGTAATTGTTTCTTATAGAAATAAAATTGATCTGAAAAAAAGCAATAGATAAATGACAAAACTATAAAGGATATCTTACCAAATCTGAAAATTCCCAAGATTGAATGCATAAAGAGAATTCGAAAGGCACGTAAGGACCATGTAGTCGGCAAAGCCATTGCCCGGTAAGGCTCCGTGATATGCCTCATGCATATTGCAGTCACTAGCAATTTCACAAAATGTGCTACGACACTACTTGCATTTACCATAATCACCGTCTTATCGTCACTGTTACAAATATTAATTCTTGAAATAATTTGCGACTGGCTAATCGAAAATAATCAATCAACTTTTCCATCCGAATAATCGATAATGATCTCAAATAACTTATATTTTTGCAATGATTTAATCTGCTTTCCCTTTTGCTTAATCAAATGAAAGTGAAGATTTGGTATTAAACTTATCCACCTAAAAGAAAAAGTAAATCAATCTCAAAATATAGCAGAATGTTTAGTAAAAAATATTGCAGAATGTTTAATAAAAAAAAAAGAAAAAGAAAAAGAAAAAAAGAAACAGAAGATTATACCATGTATTGGCTAACCCAATCCTAATCAATTTCATTAATTGTGCATCCTTAGCAGCCACCAACAACGGTATTTAGTTTAATTACATACTACAAATCGTGATTTCTTTAATCCTAGAAAGATAAGTATATTTAGAAATCTAATCAAATAATTATATATTCACTTAATGTATGGAATTTATACAAATGGATTAGCTATCCATATTCAAGCTTATATCGAGAAGAAATTTAAATACCTTTTTTCTGATCGTAGTTCAGTATAGGGCAGACACAATTTTAAAAAACTGGAGAACTTTTTCTTTTCTTCTTTTCATTTAGCCACCATTTTACTTAGGCAATATTTCAAAACGTTCTTTCCGAAGAAAGTTATTCAAAACATATAGTACACGTAACGTATACTGTATTATATCGAGTAAATTTTTTTCGGAAAGAGCATTTTGAAACATAAGGCCCTGCGCACAATAGAGTAAAATATTAGAAACAGCAGTAAATATTAAATTGTGAAAATAAAAATTCAAAATAAAAATTAAATATAATGCACAATATATATAAATAAGTATAAAATATAGTCATATCTTACTTAGGGGCTGCGCACAATGGAACAAATATTAAAAACAGGAGCTCAATCATGTAATTTTACATAAAATTTTTCACTTTTTAATTTTCACTTTTAACTTTTCATTTTTTACGCATTGACATTTCACGTGAAACTTTTGACGTATAACGATTATGTATGTAATTTGGATGCGTGAAAAGTAAAATTATGAAACATAGGATGCTGTTCGAAATTTATTGCCAGCACTGAAAATCTATAATATACGTGACCTGAATTATATATTTTCAGTACCGGAAGCGAATATCGAAACGATATAGCTAAGGAAAATTATTTTATTGATATAAAATTATATATTATATACATAATATTATATATCTTTTAATAATCGATTGTATATGCACTATATACACTTAATCCTAACGCAGCCCTAATCTTCTCTAATTTTGAAGCATATTTATTAATTCCCTAGATTTCCGTCTTTCTGCCACGGAGAGCGTCCCAATTGACTACAACCACTTACAGAGGCCGGTGCCTAGAATTTTTCCACTGTTCAAGCGCTGTGGCTAGTGGACAATCGGAACGTGATCAAACGGGTGTCACCAATTTATTTATATTAGATATGAAATAATCAAATGAAAGCGAATTATTTTATTTCTATTTGATATACATTTGATATATATTTACGTAATTCAAAAAATTCTTACCGCTGTTGCTTTTATTACGCCGAGGTCATATGACGCGAGGTCACGTGCCGGCGCGGCGACGTTTCGCGCTACCATTGGACTTCTCGCTGCGCCATATTTGTTCGCGCCGTGCACCGGATAGGACGCTCCGTATTTCTCGCGTTTCCGAAATTCAAATTACACGCAAATAGGATGTCTAGAATATTGAACATGAAAATGGGTAATTATTTCATTAAATGACTGTATAATATATAAATAGAATCGTATTCATTCGTGAAATACGACAAGCACGTACTTGTATCGAAACAGGATAAAATCTCGCGCGCGTATTTGTTCGAACAGATTATATTACTCGCGTAATAATAAAATGAAAATATCGAGACCAACGAGATTTAATGTCACACAATATTAATTTATTCATATTAGATATGAAATTTTTAAATGGAAGCGAGTTATTTCATTTCTATTTGATATATATATTAACGTAACACAAACAATACTTGCCGCTGTTGCTTTTACGACGCCGAGGTCACGTGACGTCACGCGCCGGCGCGGTGGCGTATCGCGCTACCCTTGGTCTTCTCGTTGCGCTATATTTGTTCGCGCCGTGCGCCGGATAGGACGCTCCGTATTTCTCGCGTTTCCGAAATTCAAATTACACGCAAATAGGATATCTAGAATACCGAACATGGAAATGAGTAATTATTTTATTACATAAATAACTAAAATATATATATATATATAAATAATATATAAATAAAATTCTATTCATTCATGAAATGTGACAATCGCGTGCTTGTATCGTCACAGAATAAAATTTCGCGCGCGTATTCGTTCGAACAGATTATATTACTCGCGTAATAATACAACAAAAATATCGAGACAAACGCGACGTAGTTTCAATATTAATATGATCATATTAGGTATGAAATTTTCAAATCGAAATGAGATATTTCGTTTTAATTTAATATACATATTTACGCATGTGGCCGCCACCATCAACATATCGCGCGGTCTTCTTGCTGCGCTATATTAGTCCGCGCTGTGTTCCGAATCAAATGTTCCGTATTTCTTGCGTTTCAAATTCAAATTGCAGATACGATATCTAAAGTGCTAAATGTGGACAGACTGTTTTATTGCGTAAGGAATAGTGCAGTGAGTAAATATAATCCCATTCGTTTATAAATTGTTACTTTATACAATTTTCGTACCTGTTGCGTCGCGGCAAGTTAAATTCTCTCGTGTACGTGACTCGCGTAATGTCGAGAATACCGAATAAAGTGCGATCGGTGTTAATGTGTATGTGGTTCGAGAAAGTAAACTGTCAATAAAATTTTATTGGGAAGCAGAACTTGGTGAGTGCATTAATTACTATTTACTACATATTTCTTCGATCTAAAATAAAATTACATTTTGTTAGGTTTGATATTTAAAATAAATAAAAAACATTATGTTATTTAAATAATTATAATGATACTATATTATAATTGAACAAAATATTCGTATTAAATATTTTACTTTTTAATTTAATAATTTTTTGATACATTTAAAATAAAATATTAATTGAAGTAGCATGTAATTTTAATATAAAGATTTAAAAAATATAATAAGTTATTTTTTATTAATTTTACATATTCTAAAATCAAAAATACTTGTTCAATAAATAATAATTACATTTCTAAAAAAGAAAATGGATGCCACAGCACAGGGTGAGTGAATTAATTGATATTTAAGTTAATAATTGTTATGTATTATTTGCATTAGCGTATTGCGTCATAGTTTTGTTACATTAACATAATCTGAGAAATATGTTGCTTAAAAAATCTTTAGTAACATATCTGAAATTTATTTCATAAATGAGATCCAATATCCAAATTTTTAAGAATATATTTCGATTTCCATTTAATGTGCAAGATATATAATATTTATATGAAAAATATAGTGAAAATTTGTTGTATAAAGATTTTTTGTCACTAACGTTCTTATTTTTTTCTTTGAAAATTAAAAATTCAAAGTAACAAATTTAACACAAATTGCTACTTATATTACAGCGATTAATATGAAACTAAATGCTCACTGTGAACTTTGTCCAGAGTATTTGTTATTTGTTTATTGTTTGTTGTTTTGCAATCTGTACAGAAAAGAATGAGGAACACTCTTATGAATGAAAGAGTCACAGACACGCACAAATATAAATTTTTCAAAATTTTTTTACTAAAGGAACATATTTGCCTGCAGTAACATTTGCTTGTAGTAATGAATACACGAACAAACCAGTAGTCAAATTAAATAGATTAGTT